AGCATCCGTTGGCGCATCAGTGGGAGCATCAGTTGGCGCATCCGTGGGAGCGTCAGTCGGGCATCTGTGGGAGCGTCCGTTGGCGCATCGGTGGGAGCGTCCGTTGGCGCATCAGTGGGAGCATCAGTTGGCGCATCGGTGGGAGCGTCAGTTGGCACATCCGTGGGAGCGTCAGTTGGCGCATTCGTGGGAGCGTCAGTTGGGGCATCCGTGGGAGCGTCCGTCGGGGCATCCGTGGGAGCGTCTGTTGGCGCATCTGTCGTTGGTGCAGGCGTCAGAGCAGTCGTTGTGGGTGACGGTGTTGATGATGGAGCCAGAGCGTTCAATAGGGAATTCAGTGACAATCCAGCGATACTGGCACTCTCGGCACTCACTACAATATATAGATGTCTCGGAGGTTAGTGAGAATAAACGTACGCTGTCGAGCGTCATGGAAGATTAGCTGCCGCGCGGGCTCCGTGCCCATCGACGTCGTGGTGACGGCGAGGACGACGAAGGCGGCAGCGAGGCCGATGGCGGCGACGACGGTCTTGCGCGACTTGTTCTTGTGCGGCTTGACGCGCACGTAATCCACGGGTTCGATCGCTACCATCGTGCAAATTCAACTCTGACGCTCACCATCGCTTTGCTCTCGGTGCGAAACTCCTCCAGCTTCCTATTTTCATAGTTATCCGGATGACGTGGCAGTGCGTGAGAACGGGTTGCCGTTGATGAGATCTCACTCCATCCAAAAAACGACCAGTCGGCTTGGAGGGATATAATAAATGCAGCTGAACCATGCCCACGATGCGTTCTTTGCATCGCTCACGACGTACGCTCGAGGTGCGACGACGCACCGGTGGGCAGCTACGCGAAATCATCTCGTGCGGCATAAACAGGACCAGCCATCTCGCCCGCCGCGTTCCACGAGCCGTTGTCTGCCGTTTTAGACCCGAGATCCTGGCCGAGAGCACTCGTCGTTGCAAGAAACCATCGAAGCGACCCCACAAAAGCATCATCCGGTCTCCTCCATCCACAACATCCAGCTTGCCTCTCCTTGGCCGTTGCACGAGCCGTCGCATTGCTGACAAGTTGTTGACTGTAGTGGAGGCTTCAAGTACCCCTCGCGAAATTCTGGGCACGAATATCGTACCTTACATCGTACTGGCATCGCATCCAGCGCATGCTCTTTGCCCTCCTCTCGCCGTTTCCTTGAGAGAAGCTGGGATGGAGAAATGACATAAATTGGATAGGCTTAGGCGGCCTTGCCCGCAACGTTGGCAACGGCCGCGGCAATGTCTTTGAGCCGGGGCAAGAAGATCTCGGTGACCTTCTTCATGACGACTTCGTCCTGGCGGATGTCGCGGACATGCCCCTCGACGCCGTGGAACAGCGACATCTCGGCGGCGTACGCCTCGAGCCAGCTGGCCACGCTGCCTTCATACTCGAAGCGCAGAAGCACGTGGCCCTTCATTTCGCCGCGGCTAAAGACGGGCGACCACCCGACGTAGACGTTTTCGGCGTCGATCTTCTCGAGCGTCTCTTCGAGCGGCACGGTCACCTTGCCAATCTGCCCGTCGAAGAGTAAGTTCTTGTTCATGATGTTGATCTCGAGGATCATGTCGATCGGGTGCACGTTGTTGAACGGGAACGTCTGCGACCACTTGGGGTCGCACCCGCCGTTGTCGTGCACCTTGGTCTTGGCAAGGCGCCCGCCGAGGCTGAGGCGGCAGTACGGGTCTTGCACGCCGAACGCCTGCGTGTCGAGGAGGTTCTTGGCGCGGACGACCGAGATCTTGGCGTTGAGCACCGGCGGCGGCTTCTGGAGCCGGCGAATCGATCGGACGTTGTCGTACGAGCCTTCGCGCAGCTGCTTTTGGAGCTCGGTGACGACGTCGACCGCGGACGGCCGGCCGTTCGGGTCGAGCGACACGCAGCGCAGCGCGAGGTCCTGGTACCACAGCGGCGCGCTCGCAAACGTGTGCGTGATCGTCGTCTGGCCTGGCACGGCGTTGCGGATGACGTCCATGAGCATATAGTCGCCGAGGTACCGGCCCTGTCTGTCCTTGTACGACGAGTACGGCACCGCGTGCGTGTCGAGCTCTATGAGGAGGAGCCCGAGCGCGTAGATGTCGACCGTCTCCGAGTAGTGCCCCGACCCGTTCATGGTTTCCGGCGCCGCCCACCGAAAGTCGCCGACTCCGTTGGTCATCATCTGCTCGAGGTCCTTCTCGCGCGCGCTCGAGAAGCCCGTGACTTTGGCCACGTTGCGCTCGTTCAAAAGCACATGGTAGCTGCTCAAGTCGCGGTGGATCAAGTCGAGCGAGTGCATCTTGGCGATGGCCTTGGAGACGTTGAGCGCGATCTCGAGGCGCGTCTTCCACGACACGGCGCTCGGACTCGTCGTGTGCAGGAAGCTGCGCAGATCGCCGCGCTCCATGTGCTCCATGTACATCATGGGCGACGCTTGGCCGAGGCCCGATGCGCCATAGAGCGTCACAACCGTGCCGCCCGCCCCGTCCAACCTACGGCTCATGAGCTACAAAGGCAATCGAAAGGCACGACGACGTACTTGGCCATGAGCGAGATGGACGACTTGAAGTGTTCGATGACGTCGTCGCCAAGGCCGTTGCGCACGAGCTTCTTGAGCACCGTGCGCTTGCCGTCAAAGAGACCAACTTGGAACTCAAAGTTGCCGCCGCCCGGCAGCCGCTCCTGATAGCGGAACTGCGAGAGATCAATGTACGGGATCGTCTGCAGCGACGTGAAGAGGCGGCGCATCGTGTCGAGTTCCTTGCGCTCCTCGGCGAGACGCTTGCGCTCCGCATCCATGTCGGAGCTCGACCCAACGTGGGCCAACGTCCCGCGCCGGTGCATCGATGCGTCCGCGAGCGCTTCCGTGACGGTGTTGAGCTCGGCCTCGAGCTCGGCCGCGCGCTGCTTCGTCACCTCTAGCTCGTGCTGGAGCGTCTGGACGAGCATTGATGTGTTGCTGTTGTCGGCGACGCTGCCGGCGGCGGCGTGGGCCTTGTTGAACTGGTCGAGCCGCCGAAGCAAAATCTTGATCTTCTTGTCAAAGCCCGGCAGCGCATCGCCGCAGTTGTCGCTGACGCACACGGGCGTGAGCATGTCGTTCGGGTGGTTGCACACCTGGCACATGATGGTCACGTCCATGGTACTCGTCGTCGGCGGTGGCGGAAATGGAAGTGGGTGATGATCGGCTCTCCTCTTGTTGGCAGTGGGATCTTGGCCGGATGATGCACGGTATCCGGATGACATGCCCGGCCTTTCTGCAACCCGCCGACTTCCAGCCACGAGCGGCGAGCCATCATCGTTGCGCCGTCGCCAGAATGGCTACCGCCCACCTCGGTGGCACGGCTACGAGGAGGCCGCCGCCCGCTGCTTTCTAGCGGCGACCGCCCGCGGAGGCAGTACCGTCCGTACTGTAAATGATCGAGGTTGTAGCATCGTTGAAGTAGCCCGCACGCGGCTGGTCCTGCGCTGGGTTGTTGTCGGCGATGGACCTTCATCATCACCCAAGATCCTCCGCCTTGATTACCTTGCTTGATTCTTTGGATCGCTTCGCCAAAGGGCGGCAAGAAGCTGGTATTCGTATGAACGCATGGCAAGGCGTTGCGTGTTAATAGCGTGTCTACGGCGCCACCTCGACCTGCTCGACAAGGCGCTGCGCGACCTCGATCTTGTGCAGCGCTTCATCTCGCGCGACGCTTTCGGCGTCGCCGAGCGCGACCACGTAGCACTCCATGGCGGCCACGTACTCGTGCAGCCAGCGCGCGACGTCGCCTTGGAACTCGACGTCGATCGTGAGGTACCCGTGGTTGTCGCCGCGGGAGTAGACGGGCAGCCACATGCGGCGGCGGCAGCCGTGCTTCCCGTCGAGCGCTTCGTGGAGCGGGAGGTTGCACTTGCCGATCTGGCCTTCCAGCCACCACTGCACGTTGAGGATGTTGGCCTCGAGCACCATCTCCATGAGGTTGACATTGAAAAAATCAAAGCGCTCGTTCCAGCGGGGCGCGCGGCCGCCGCGGTTGTGCGGCTGCGTCGAAAACTCCTTCCCGCCAAGACCGACCTTGCAGATCGGGCTCTGCGTCCCGAACGCCTGCGTGTCCAGAATCGAGTTGGCCTCAACGACCGTGAGGCGCACGTTGACGACCGCCGGCGTCGGCGGCGCCGCGACCTTGGACGGCGCGCGCAGGTGCTCTTGGAGCCGCCGCACGAGCTCGACGGCCGACGGCCGCGCGGTCGGGTCCAAGCTCGTGCACTCGCGCGCGAGGTCCTGGTACCACGACGGGCTGTCGCCAAACTTGTGCTGCGTGATCGGCGCGCCCGGCGTCGCCCGGCGGATCGCGTCGCTGATGGCAAACTCGCGCATCTGCCGGCCCTTGCTGTCCTTCATGTGCGCGTACGGCAGCTCGTGCGTGTCGAGCTCGACGAGGATGATGCCAAACGAGTAGATATCCGCCTTCTCCGAGTACAGGTTGCCTTCGACCATCGTCTCGGGCGCCGCCCACCGAAAGTCGCCGACGTTGTTGGTCATGGACGACGGCGACTTCTCGCGGGCGTTGGAGAGCCCCGTGACCTTGGCGACGTTGGTGTGCGAGAGGAGGATGTGGCTCGAGTTCAGATCGCGGTGGATGAGGTCCATCGCGTGCATCTTGGCGAGCGCCTTGGCCACTTGCAGCGCGATCTGGAGCCGCGTCGGCCACGAGAGCGCGGCCTTGCCCGAGAGCGCCGACCGCAGATCGCCACGCTCCATGTACTCCATAAAGATGACGGGCCGGCGCTGGTCCACGGCCGCGGCGCCAAAGAGCGGGATGATCGCGCCGCCGCCGCCGTCGAGCCTACGCAGAAGCGCAGCATGAGCCTCGTCAATCGAGAAGGTGGATCATGTCTACTTGGCGAGCATCGCGATCGACTCCTTAAACTTGTGTACGAGCGCTTCTTCGGGACTGGATTCGAAGAACATTTTGCGCACGACGAGCTTGCCCTCGAGCGTGCCGAGGTGCAGCACAAAGTTGGACGTCGTCCCAAGCAGCTGCGCGTCGAGGAACTGACTGCCCTCGACGCCGGGGATCGTGTGCAAGCTCGCGCTCAGATGCTGCCGCTCCTCGATCTCCTGGAGCCGCTCGCGCAGATGCTTGAGCTCCATTTCTTTGCCAACACCGGACGCGTCGGCTTGGAGCTTGGCTTGCAGCGCCAAGAGGCGGCTCGCCTGCTCGTCGACCTGCGCCTGGAGCGCGACGATTTGCGCCCGCGCCGCCAGCAGCTCGGCGTTCGGGTCGCCTTGCCACAGCTGTAGCCGGCGCACGAGCACGTCGAGGCGGTCGGCGTCCGACCCGAGCGACTTGCCGCAGTTGGTGCACACGTTCTCGGTCACAACGTTGGGCTTGTTGCAGACGACGCACGGGATTGACGTGTCCATCGCAGCGGTGAATTTGTACTGACGACGACGACGACGACGGTGGTTCTTGAAGGCCGCCTACAGTGTAGATGAGGAGAGTGCGAGTGCCATCAACTACCACTCTACAGTACGCCTCGATTGTCCAGAGGAGAGCAAGAGAGTGGGTGTGCCCTCGCACTGCGCGGCGCCACGTCAGCGCCGAGCGCTGCGACACTGGCCCCACCAAAACGCTTAGCGATGCCATGGCCTCGACGCGACGGCAGCCGTCGGCGTCGGCGTCAACGCCAGCGACACTGCGGGGCCCACAACCCGTGACCACGGTACCGTGTACTATACAGTGTACCGGGGCAAAGACACGAGTCGTCCAGATAGATGCGTCGGCGGGCAAGGGCGAGCGTGGGCGGCAGAGCAAACGCGCTCCAGGAGCGCTGCTCGCACTCTACCGTGCAGCGCATCGATGGCGAGACGACGCCGCCGAGGTGCGCTCCCCACGGTCCACAACGCGTCCTCCAGCGTGAGCCATTGACAAGCCATCCTTGGGTACTTCAAGGAACGTTTAGCACGGCGCATATACATGTACAGCATAGCACTCAGCCTGGTCGACACACTATCTCATGTTGATGCTTTATCGTCCAAGCACCTACACCTGCGTCTTCTATTATCTATGGCCGCAGCCGAGACCCGCCTTGCCGCACGATGCTGCGACGGGCCTTGAGCGTCTGGAACACGGTCGTTGCGCGCGAGATCTTGGCTTGCATCAACGGCTCCTTTGTGTCTTGGAGCCGCGGCAGCGACTGCACATAGGCACCCATCCAGGCCTCGACATCGCCCTTGATTTCGAGCTTAAGCACGAGGTAGCCGTGCGGGTCGCCGCGGCTCTGCACGGGCAGCCAGCGCGTCCACGCCTGGAGCTCGTCGAGCTCGTCCATGACCTTGGCCAGCGCCAGGTGCACGACGCCAATCTGTCCGCTGCGGCCGTACCGAATCTGCGCCTCGAGCGTCGACTCCATGAGATGCAGCGCACTAAACTCAAACGTCTCGTCCCACGTGTAGTCAACCGACGCCTGCGTCGTTGCCGTCGCGTCGTGGAGATGCAGCGAGACGAACGACGGCATGTCGCCCATGTCGGCCACATGCAACAGCGACGATGCGCTCAGCACCGTCACGCGCAGCACGAGCGGCGGCAGCCCACTCGTGGTATGGACCTGCGGGAAGAGGCGCGCTTCGAGGTGCCGGACGACCTCGACAGAGGACGGGCGGCGGCGCGGGTCGAGGTCCGTGCACCGGGTAGCGAGCGCACGGTACCAATCGGGGCTGTCCCGGAACGCGTGCTGGAGCACGAGGTCGGTCGGTGTCGCCCGGCGCAGTAGGTCGATGAGCGTGAGGTCGCCGACGGGCTTGCCGCGGCGGTCGCGGACGTGGGCGTACGGCGCCTCGGCCGTGTCGAGCTCGACGAGAAGCAGGCCGAGCGAGTAGATGTCGGCGGTCGACGTTGGGAGCGCGCGGTCGGCAAAGAGCTCGGGCGCGGCCCAGCGCATGTCGGCCTGCTCGTCCAGTCGCGCCGTCGCTCGTGCTTGGGTCCAGCCCGAGAGCTTGGCCACGTAGCCCGCGCCGAGAAGCACGTGCGACGAGTGGATGCGCTTGTGCACGAGGTCGAGCGCGTGAAGCTGGCTCAGTGCACGCGCGACGTGCAGCGCGATGCGGAGGCGCGTCGCCCAGGTCAGCGATGGGCCGGCGCGGAGGACGCTGTGGAGATCGCCGAGCTCGAGGTACTCGAGGTACACTTGCGTGTGGCCTTGCGAGAGCCCCGACGTGCCGAGGAGCGAGACGGCCGTGCCGTCGGCGCCGCCCAGCCTACAAGTTGCGCATGAGATTGCGGCACGTTTCAAGCAACGTACTTGGCGAGCAGCGCGATCGACTCTTTGAACGTGACGACGGCCGCGTCACTCGCGTCGGTGCGGAAGAGCTGCTTGCGCACGACGGGCTTGCCGTCGATCGTGCCGACGTCGAGCTGGAAGACGCTGGACGACGACGTCGGGATCGACCGCTGGAGCTTGAAGTGCGCAGCGGGAATGAACGTGAGCATGTGCAAGTTGGCCGCGAACGACTGCTGCGACGACTGAAGCTCCTGGAGCTGACTCTCGAGCGCATGGATCTTGTCCTCGTACTCGGGCTCCTTGTCAAAGGACGAGAGCTGCTGGAGGCGCCGCGTCAGCTCGTAGTTCTCGCGCTGGAGCTGGTCGCGCTCGGCCGCAAGAGAGCTCAGCGACGCCTTGGTCGCGTCGAGCTCGGCTTCGATCTTGGCCGGCGGCTCGGACGACTGGAGCGTCGAGAAGCGGTCGAAGCGCTTGAGGAGGATGAGGAGCTTCTCCGAGTCGGACCGGACCGGCTGCTTGCAGCGCTTGCAGCACGGTGCGCGGATGTCGTTGGGGACGTTGCAGACTTCACACATGAGCGACGTGTCCATCTTTCTTGATCAAGCAGTCTCTTGCTCGGTGATGCGCCTTTGAAAGTGACTGCTTCCGGCGACGCTCAAGTGGGCGAGATTCCATCGCACGCCAGGACCAAGGGTTGCAGTCTTCGTCGTCTTCTTCCTTGAAGCATCCACTTGGCTACTTTTCTGCAGCAGCGTCGTTCTCTGCATGACGCCGCCTGCTCGTCCGACTAGCCGTGCCACTAACAGTGGACACGTGTTGAAGGTCGTCTTGCATCAAGCGCCTAGCTCGCGCTGCTGGCAAGGCGGTCTCACGCTACGTCTCGGGGCGTCGGGCTGCCTCGATGGGTACTCGGTCCCTTGGTGTTTCTTGGCCCGTGGATCGAACCCTTTGCTGCTGGCGGTGCGTCGCGTAGAGTGGCACGGCACGGCCATAGTAGACGACGGCGCTTCGCCTCTGCGTCAGCGGCGGCGCGACATCGGGCCTTTTTATCGAACAACCAATCAGAAGCGGTATCTTTTGGAGATCCCGCCAATGGCCATCGTGCAAAATTCGAACGCACCTTCCAACAAGCTTTGCTATCAGTTGCTACGCGGCATGTCTCGGTGCATATATTCGTAAACTACTATGCTATTCTTTAAGAAGAGTGTATAGACTACGAGGACGAGATCAAGTGGGCATGTACATGCTGCGGATGACTTTGGCTTGGGCGACTCGGACCGGATCGCGTTCGATCCGGATCGAGTCGTCAATGTACCTTACCCGGTCAAAGTACTGGTTGCGCCACCGGAGTCGACCCTCGCCCATGAAGGTCACCTTGAGGTAGAGCTCGCCGCAGTCGGCACCGTCCTTGAACAACGGCGCTTCGAGCTCGACGACCCAATCGTCGTCGGTCAGATCATCTCCGTGTGGCAGCGTCTTCTGGAGAGGCACGGTGCAGATGCAGATTTGAGCGAGCTGGTTGCCCAGCTTTTGGTAGACGCGCGCCTCGAGCGTCATGAACTCTGGCTCTTGGGGTCGGAAGTCCATGAGATGGTTCCACGTCGGACTGCTCCCACGCTCCTCGGAGAAACCAGTTTGTGACTGATCCCGACCGAGGCTCACGTGGCACTGCACCTGCATGTGGCGGGTACCCGTCCCGCGGAGGCCCTTGGCTCGTTGCACCTCGACCTGGACGTGCATAGGCTCGGTCACCGGTGGCTGCAGCGGGAAGAGGAACTTTTCGACCTCGCGGCGCAGCGTCTCAAGAATGGTGAGGATCGTCGGGCGCGACGAGGGCTCGAGCGCGAGGCACTGCTGGACGATCTCCGCGTAGTACGCCGGCGTCGACGCGTCCATGTTGTGCTGCAAGATTGGGTCGCCTGCCGTGACGTTCGCGAGGCGCTTCTCGAGCGCGTGCTCCGAGATGGGCTTGCTCGTGGTTTCATTGATGAACGACACGTACGGAAGCGCGTGCGTCGCAAGCTCCTCGAGGAGCTTCCCGAACGAGAAGATGTCGGCCTTCACAGAGTACCGGGCATGCGCCAACTGCAGCGTCTCTGGCGCTGCCCAGCGCACGTCGCCGACGTTGCCAGTCATGGTCCCGGCCGACGGCTGACGCACGTGGCTAAAGCCCGTGAGCACGACGCGGTGCAAGTCGTGCACGAGCACATGGAACGAGTTGACGTCGCGGTGGATGCGGTCGATCGCGTGGAGCTCGTAGAGGCCGCGGGCGATCGTGAACGCCACGTCGAGGCGCGTCGGCCACGGCACGGCAGCCGCGTCCGGCGTCTTCTCGATGAGATACCGGAGGCTGCCTCGCGGCATGTACGGCATGTAGATCACGGGGTTTTCGCTCGTGTAGTCGAGCCCCGATGCGCCGAGGATCTGGATCAGCGAGCCGCGTCCACCGTTCAGCCTACGACAAGAGCTTAGACGCAATCGGAGGTTGGGTGACGGACGCACCGGCGCAAGATAGCAAACGAGCGCTTGACCTTGTCGAGCATCTCTGCGAGCTTGCCTGTGCGGCGAAGCGCCTCGACGGCGTTCGGGTCGAGGCTCTTGCGCACCACGATCTGGTCATTGATGCGGACCTTGTGCAAGATGAAGACCTCGCCGCGCCACAGCGGTTGCTCGTCAACGACGTGGACATCACTGACATTCACGAGTGGCGTCGACTGCAGTGTGAGCTCGTTCGCCCGGTCCTGCTGGAGCTTCATTCGTTCTTCTTCCAGCGCCTTGCTCTTCGCTTCGTACTCAGCGTCGAGTCGCTGATACGCGGCTCGGAAATCGGGGTCGGCCGTCGCGCTACCGCCAATCGCCATCGCCTTCTCCATTGTAGCGACCTTTGCGTTGAGCGCATTGACTTGCGCCGCAAGCTTCTCGTTGGCATCTTCGAGCTCCTTCTTGGCGACTTGAAGCATGTTGTGAGCGGCGGCGTCTTCCTTGCACACGCGGACGAACTTGAGTCGGTTTTCTGCCGGCGGCATCTCTTCGTCGCAGTGTGCGCAGAGCGAGGCCGTGGGCGCATTGTCTTCGTTGCACAACTGGCACGTGACGACGAGCCTCATCGCTCTGCGTCCTTGGTGGCGAAGGCGGAAGTGACGACCGCCGGCCGACCCTCCCCGATCACTTTGCCAGCACGCGATGGGCACCAACTGGTGGGTGGGATTCGATGCAGTGTCTGGTCCATGTACACTGTACGGGGAGCGATACACTGGATGGATAATGGCGGTGCGCGTCAAGCCCAAACGCTCGCAACACTCAGAACCTCCTAGCCTCCTAACCTCCAAGATGTATTCATCCCGTGCCCCAAATGCCCGTGCCTGCTAATTTGATGCACAGCTTCCCGCAGAGACAGCCCTCTACATATAAGAACAGTGTCACTGTACAAGAACGCAGCTTACAAACGCGTCAGCTGGTGTCCTAGCAGCCGCGTGCCGTGGGCTGTCGCTGCACGCGATTGTTGGCTTGACCTGGAACGGTGCGCCGCCACAGCTTGCGCCTCGTTCGCTGATGCTCTTAACCCTCTCAGACCTAAGGCGGGAAATCCGCCAGCAGATACTGGAACCCTTGTCGTGCCCAGAGTGCAGACGCCGCAATCAATTGATTCGCCACACGTCAACGGTACTGGACTAGAAACACGCATTTTGCAGCTGCTCAGACTTGCAAGTTCCCAATACACTGTATGTGGCAAGTTCCGTCGTTCAACATTCTGAGCTCGACGCCCAGGCGCCTCGGGAGCAAGCGACGTTTTCGTCGGCGAATGATCGGCGTGTGGTGTCTTCATCAACGGCTCCACTGGATGATGCGTGCAACGCGTTGCTCCATGTGACCAATTTGCGAATCATTTTCTCTTCTATGTCAAGATCACTGTCTAGATTGGCATACACGTGTACTACAGTACTCACGGCGAGCTTTACTTCGTAGAGCCAGCTCGATGTTGGGTTTGGCAATCCTGCCGCGGAGCAAATTAGGCGCTTCAAATACACGGCAACGTCTAGTCGCCAAGACTGGGGCTCGCTCCTCGCCAAGGCACGGCCTGCACAAAAGTCAACACCCTACCTCCGCTGCGCTGTGGTGGGCAGGCTTAAGACGGCTCGCCGCCCATCAGCTGCCATTTCTCGAGACCGTGCAAATGCTGATGTATAGAGCAGCGGTGGCGTATGCAATAGGTTGTGCACGAATAGGTTGTGCACGAGCGCGATCAAGACTTGGTGCTTCATATAGAATCGCTTGTTCTAGTTGCTGAGGCGATGACATGACACGGCATCCGCTAACCTCTTGCTCGGCAGCATCGGCAGCTTTAGTGGCGGCGGCGCAATCAAGTTGCTTTGGAGCAGTGTCCGTGGTGGTCACTGAATCACTGAGGACAGTCGTTCTCAAGGTCTCGGACTCGGAGACGACGGCTAATAGACTGCGATTTTACCATTTCTGCATCAAGGTTGCGCGGTCCCGGCCATCGAAATCGCAGAAACCGATGCAGACATTGGAGCGGCGCAATAGAGCGCACAGGCGCCAGTGGCGTAGCGATCGCGGTAAGCAAGCGGGGCTTATTTGGCTGTCTTCACCAAAGATGCTGCGCAGCACATCTTTGTAGGAAGCTTCGCATATCTCGAGCCGAGCTCTGCTAGCTAATCGACGACATGGAGGAGTCTCAGACTTGAACCCTTGAACCATACCACCGTTTCTTGGCGCGTCGTGTCGTGATTGGCTTAAACATCTCATTGGTCGATGAGTTTGAAATTATAAAGGCGCGCAATCCAATCGTGCACAGGACTGCAGCAAGGTTTTCCCGCCTCTGGACCTCCGTCCTCGGCTGTTCGCTGGGGAAATGGACAGCCTGGACTCTGCACATTAGCGACACACCTCTGCAACATGACAACCTGTAGTTATGACGTATACTCGCCTCGTTCCTGTATCCACACAGTGGTCTCGCTCGAACCTCAATGCAGGAAAATTGCCAGCACGGCAGCATGCAGCCTTGAAATCTCGCCGCATGTAAGCTGTTGTATCGATCTTGGTCGTAAGAAAAGCAGCACGATGTGCACTCCACAGATCATGGTCTACCGCAGGGTCAAATAGGTCTATGTGTATCCACCGTCAAGCGCTAAGCTCCACCGTCAGCCGTCGACAGTCACAACGTGGCGTGCGTTCGAGCTCTCGACGGTCAGGGGTGATTACAAGTGCGATGTTGCGAGTCCAGAGCTACCGATCTCCAAGCCCACCACGATAGGGAACCTTGCATCTTTCGAGTCGCGTGCGAAGATTGTAGCTAATTTATACTAACGTTACTAGTAGTGTAATAGTAGTAGCATTCATTATTCGAGCTGACCTTTGTCTTGATGACAGACCGGAGTATCCTGTAGCGGCATTACCCGTGAGATTCCTTCCATTCTCCGCCGAAGACCGCGAATATTTGAAAAATGGTCAAGCTGATATCATCATAGTATGCGTCGAGCTCTTTTAACGCTCAATTTAAATGGACATGCTGTTCGGGCGACTAGTACTAGTACTACCTGCAGTCATTATGTACCCGCACATGGCGAGAGAAGCACGAAGCGTTGAGCCGAGCTACTTTGGCTGGTAAACGCTCATTCAAAAGGGATCCATTTGTTGTGGTGAAAGGAGAGCGGCCTTCTCCACAACTCAAAGGAGAGCGTGCGTTCTTGTGGCCGACAGGTTGCCGTTTGCGCTCGTCGACAACGCCGGTGCGACGCGGCGATATCGATGGCTAATGCAATACAACTCGTGCATAAAGTCATTTATCTGTCGGTGTACAACGTTCGTAGAGTCCTTGGAGCGCTGCCATCGCAGCTTTTCGTGGGCTCTTTTGACCAGAGCCCAAGAGAGATGGAAGGTTGTCTCTGCTTCGTTACTCCAGCACGATTCGTAGCGATGTCTCTTGCCTATAATGGGCAGCGGTGCTGCAAACATCGCAAGTTAGGACTAGCACAACCTTGACGTTCGATGCCGCAATGGCACTTTGTGCTCGACACACCACCGTTTACGCTGTACTTCAAGCTGCGTGCTTGACAGCACGCTAGTCGTCGCCTCTTCTTACGCTCGAACAAGGTGGCTTATCAACACGAGTATGCGTGCTTGTCGCCGACTCGAGTCTCGCATCTCCCTTCTGCGTCAACACATCATCGCGATCGCCAGCGATGGCACGGCGTCGCATCCTCGCATCTCGTGAGCCTAGCCTCAAGTAGCTACACGTGTTGAGCAAGCCATCGCAGCGCTACAATCGATGCACGCGCTGTGCCCACGGCGCATCTTCCTCGCAGGCCTCTCGAGCGCATCTACATGGCGCCGTTGCCTCTCGCCTGATGGATGTTAGCAGCGCCCATGGCCTTGCGCGTCGGCTCTATGGCTTGCGCTTGCGGCAACAGCCTCCACGTCGCCGTCGTTGCCGTGGTCTCGTCGCGATGGCCGCCGTGGCCGGAGCCGCGCCGCGGCCATCATCATCCTATTGCGTTTATCCGGCATGGCCGCCATTTTATCCGTACCGCACCAGTGTTTTTGATTGGCCGTGCCCAAAGGTGGGCAGGTGCGTGTTGTAATAAAATAGAGTGTTTCACACGCGTCTAGAATGGCGCATTGTCTTGGGTTTGTATAGTTTGGGGTGTGTTTTCCGTGCATAATAATAAAACAAAACGCAACGCTTTCCCTCTCTGAAATGAACACCTGGGAGGTATGAACCCAGCGTGAGAACCAGTGATGAATAAGGGGGTTTTGGACCAACCATCGGGTCGCGTGTTCATTTCGCCTTTGAAAGTTTGAATCATATCGCATCATGGCTGTGGGTAAGTACAACAAGCAGCGTCGATCCTCGCCTCGAGGACGACGACGAGCTCCATGATGAGGAGCAGGAAGAGCTCATGATGATGGCCTCTAGGCAAGAACAAGAGATTGACCAAGGGTAAGAAGGGTGGCAAGAAGAAGGCCGTCGACCCCTTCACCCGCAAGGACTGGTACGACATCCGCGTCCCGGGCATCTTCCAGCAGCGCACGATCGGCAAGACGCTCGTGAACCGCACGTCGGGCACGAAGATCGCCTCGGAGGGCCTCAAGGGCCGCGTCTTTGAAGTCTGCCTCGCGGACCTCAACAAGGACGAGGACCAGAGCTTCCGCAAGATCCGTCTCTGCTGCGAGGACGTCCAGGGCACGCAAGTGGTCACGGGCTTCCACGGCATGGACTTCACGCGCGACAAAATCTGCTCGCTCATCAAGAAGTGGCAGACGCTCATCGAAGCGTTCGTCGATGTCAAGACGACCGATGGCTACACCATCCGCCTCTTCTGCATCGCGTTCACCAAGAAGCGCCCCAACCAGATCAAGAAGACGTGCTACGCCCAGACCGCCCAGATCCGCGCCATCCGCAAGAAGATGACGACGATCATGACGGAGCAGGCCAGCAAGTGCGACTTGAAGGACCTCTACCTCAAGTTCATCCCCGAGATCATCGGCAAGGAAGTCGAGAAGGCGTGCCAGGGCATCTTCCCCCTCCAGAACTGCTTCCTCCGCAAGATGAAGGTCTTGAAGAAGCCCAAGTTCGACGTCACCAAGCTCATGGAACTGCATGAGGAAGGTGCCGAGGAGAAGGGCGCCAAGGTCGTCCGCGACGAGGACCTCCTCGTCCAGTCGATGGCCGGCACGGGCGGCCGCTTGTAAGCGACCTCTCCCAACCACGTCTACCGAGCGAAATCTCCGACGATGTAGTCTTCTTAAAGGCAAATTAATGGAAGACAACTCAACAGCCAAACGCGATATTCAACTAGGCTATATCATTTTATATTGTCGCCCTTGTACACCATTATTGCCGGGTCCTCGCCCTCCAGCAGTGGCTCGAGACGGTCGATTGTCTCGGGCGCCGTCAAGAACCGACGGTACTCGAGATACACCAAGCCATACCGCACCGCAACGATCGCACCGACCGTGCCAAAGAGAACGCCAATGGCGATCCCGATCTTGGCGCCAATTGTGAGGGTATCGGGTGTGTCCGGAGTCGTCTTTGGCACTGCAGTGAGCGCCAACGCCGCCGCTACGGTAGACACGACCGTGGAGATAGAGCGTGGGGACCTCATTACGTGGTGAAGTGGGACTCGGTGACACGGAAGCCGGTGTCCAGTCTAAGCGATGATGACACATGCTGCTTTGCTGCACGAACGTGTTACTCGGTGTGGTGCTTGGAAGCGGAGATGGCAATGCGGTAGCTTCTGGAAAGGGCGACGGAGGCGTGTTGCTTGGAACGGCGGGTGTCGAGATGGTAGGCAGCGTCGTTGGCTCGAGCTGGGTTGCTACAACGTGCTTGTCAGCTTCCGAGCAGGTGCGCCGGCTACACTTGTTGGCCAGGCTAAGGTGCCAATAGCGTGAGTGAACCAACGAGTCATTCCTGGTCGTCGTACGGGACGACGCGTTGGCCGAGGACGTTGTGCTCGTATTGACGGCCGCTAGACCATGCATCGGTACATCATCATGCACGGCCGTAGCATTCAACAGTACATGCGTCTAGCACAACATGGTTAACAGCACGCACTGGTACCAGAAGCAGGAGCCGCTTACTCGACGATGCTCGGGACGACGTATTAGCGTCTACCAGCGGTGGCATGAGGGTCCAGCTACTGCCAACTGTACGAGACATACCTATTCCATTATCGGCGGATCAGAGATCAAAGTTGATCGGTTTCGCCACGCATCAAGTACCACGCGTTGTCTTCATCGCTGCGGGTGTCAATGTTGTGGGCCCACGACCACCTAGAAGTGGACTGTGATGCGCTAATCCGGTGCGTGGGGTCGCACTGCCAAAGCTCGAGCTGCTTTCACTCATGCTAAACGCCTCTTGAGCCGGAACGAGGCTAGATCGTTGAGAGGCAGCGACCCATGCCAACAACACGAGGCTCGACCATGGTTGCATGCTGCACGAAAATCGCAATGGCGGTTGGGCCGTTTTCAAAAAGAGAGATGGTCCGCACGACGTCGAGGAGGCGCGAACAACAGAAGCATATATACAACGGTAGAAGAACAGAAGAACAGGAGACTCGGCATTTCGCAGACGTTAGGTACATTGGTCACCCATCCACCACTGGGCAGGCAGGGCACCGATAGCACGTGCAGTCGACGCCCGTAATTTGCTCGGCCGTCGACGCAAAAGACGTTGACCGTAGCGTGCGGTTGCTGCAGGCGGCTAAATTAAGCTATACAACGAACAAGAAACTCGAGATACCGATAGAATCAAGCATGCGCAACGACAATGCGATGCTGCAACGTGGTTGCAGCAACGGCGGCTCGTGAGCAGCGCAGGCGAGCAGGCGATAAGCGAGGGTTGATCCAGAGTGCACACTAATTCATTGGTACCAATATAGCACTATTTTGAAACATGAACACTATATTGCGTGCATTCCAATCCACCGTCAAACGATGGACGAGAAGCGGATCGAGAAGGAGTTCCTGGCGGCCCGCCCGCCGCTGGCGTACGCCAAGCTTCAGGGTATGATCGACGAAGACCGGCCGTTCGAAGCCTTCATCACGCAGCTGCCCGTCAAATTTGGCCGTGGCGCGCAGGCAGGCCATGCGATTAGCCTCGGCGACCTCATGTCCGTGTCTCGCCAGCATGCGTCAATCAACTGGAACGCGGAGCGCAGCTGCTTTGAGCTCACGTGCTTGGGGAAGAATGGCATGCACGCTGGCGGTACAACGCGAGTAGCTCGGTGGTACCTCATCATCAAGCATAGGCAAGCGGATCGAGCAAAAAGAGGTCGTCGTGCTCACGCCCAAGATGCCACTGCGCATTGGCGGCGCTCGCATCTACTTTCTGCCCGCGGTCAAGCCCTCGACGTCAATCATGTCGGGTCTCAAGCTCATCCAGAAGGTATAGTTGCGATGCGCCAGGGTGGTGCTGACGTTGCATGCTAGGCCTTTGAGAAAGCGAACCCATCCAAGACCGTGGGTTTGAGCGTCGAGGAAGCGGTTGACGCCATCTACAATTGGTAGCTCTACCTACGCTATTGGATCCTCGCTGACGATACCATACCCCGTAGCTTCAAGGACATTGATTACGAGGTCGGCGGCCGGCAAAACCTGACCACGCTCGTCAAGTACATTGCCTTCGCTGCGATCGCCGTGGCCAACGATATGCGTAGATCCTACTTCGAGTGCCCCAACTCGACCTTCAAGCGAGTGAGCGTCTCGCCTGCTGGAGGTAAACCAATCGCCGTTATCGGGTCGACGTCACGGTCGGAGTAGAGCTACGCTATATCCATGTTCGGCCAGAAGGTGCAGACGAGCCCAAGAAGCGCCAAGGCACTGCGTCTGCCGAAAGCAAGAAGAAGCAAAAGGTCGCGACACAAGAGTCGCCAGCCACGACGGGGCTTGCGACGCCTGCCGAGCCGGCACCGTAGGCTTGCCAAACAACGTGTATTATACTCCTTGTGCACTCGCACCGTGTGACCCACTTGAAGCAACGCAACACTGCCGCTACCGACAGTACTACGCCCGACTAAAAGGATGCCATCGTCGCCTGGAACCGAGCTTGTTGGCGCTTCGTCTCGCGGTTGCACACCTCCCAGACGTTGCTCAGCGGTGCCCCGGTGAACGGCGCCATTGGCGTGTACGGCGAGGGTCCATATTCAGGCGTAAAGGTGGAGAGCGGGAGGCCAGCCTTGGCCTGGCACGTCCAGATACTCGCAAAGAGTCGATCAAAGCGCTCGACGCTCGCCGCGACGTGGGGGTCTGTCGGGTCCGTCACCTGCGGCGCTTCGTCCGACCCAATGCGGCCGTGGATGTGCGCGACGTGCGGCAAAACGGTCTCGAGCCACGCAGCGTCCCAGCTCGTGTCGAGAAGGCGCTCGGCCCCGAGGACCCAGTGCGAAAAGTCCATCGTGAGCCGAAGCTCCGGGTACGCGCGGAGCATCTCGAGCGTGCGCCATGGGTTCCAGAGAATGCGACCGCGGTGCGTCTCGTGCGCAATTGGAATGTCGTGAGCAATGCTCCGCGCGGCCGTAAAGAACTCGTGGCATGTGGCGTCGTTCCAGTGGTCCGCGCCGGCGTGGGCATTGAGGAGGACCGGGCGAAGGCTAAGCGCATGGGCTTGCTTGATCTCGTTCTCGAACTGCTGGAGATGTGCCTTGACGCTCTTATCTTCCCACGCAGCCGGCTCGTAGTCCGTCCAGCCGGAGTAGATGCCAACGATGAGCTTCATGTCGTGCGCTGCCAGCTCGTCGAGAAAGGCGGGGCCGCCGTGCGCCTGGATCGCGCTGAGGCTGGCCTCGACCCCCGAGTAGCCGAGCTCCTTGAGCACTTGGACAACGCGAAGGTTCGTCTTGACGTCCTTGGAAGGGTTGATGCCCCAGAGGTGGCGGAAGACGTCCAGCTTCATGCGGTTGGGATGGCGAAGATCACGATATGTGCAAGTCAACATTGCATTGGACGAAAAGGATGCTTCTACACGCGATATGATTGGCTGTTCGCATTAAATCTGTCATCCCAGACCTCGGATTGGCCAGACTCCTTTCTACACATGACGCATGCGGTGTCCATCTTGCATGGTGCGCACGCATTGGATGAAATGGAGCATGAAATGACATTTGATTGGATAACTTGTTGAGTTTGGGGACGCTGCCACTGGATTGGACAAAATAAAAGATCTGATTTTGGTGCCTTTGTATTGGTTAAAATTATTGTAATAGGTGTATATGATTGGCTGCATTTTGGCCATTTCAGGGCGAGATGCACGTTGATAGGCCATTTTCATCACAAGACAAACATCCCAGCGGGAGCAGCATGTTCTTCCCGACAGACCGCGCGGCCTTCCGACGTAGCTTCCCCTGCGTCTCATGGAACCGAGGAGGAAGATAACATGATGCTACTTGAAGGTTACGAAGAGGAAGCGCTGGTAGCGCGGAAGAAGCGCTTGGCGACGATCGAGAGCATGAAGCTCCGGGAAGAGGCGCCGTCCGACGTCGACTACACCAGCAAGGAAGACGAGCATTACGCAGCCTTGGACAAGATGTGGCAAGCGCTTGTCGATGACCGTCCGACGAGCTCTATGCGAGCTCCATGGCTCTTCGAGACGACGGATTGGCGGTTCCCAACGCATGAAGACTCGATGCAGCGGCCCGACGAGACCCCGCGCATGCTACCCCAGCGCAGCGGCGACGAAGCGCCCCATGAAAGCGGTACAGTGGAAGTAAAGCCTGAGAAGCGATGTCATATCGGACCTTAGGAGCCCCAGACGACGAAGACCCCTTCGAAGAGATCGAGCTACGATGGGCTACCCCCATGGACGACGCCAAGCTGTGCATGCCATCAAGAGACGGCAACATCCTAGCCTATGCAGTCGACAATGGTCTTGGCGACATTGACTTGTACCACAACTGCCTCATGACAAGGGTCACGCTTACATGTTTCCATTAGCGCATGGCATGAGGATGCGTGCTGCTGGAGCGCATTGGTTGATACCTCGCAGCACGTCGTCTGCATCACGCCTTCGCCCTCCGAGCTCGACGCATCTCCACGTACTAATGTCGCTCGAGCTTGCGGCTTCATGGTGTAGCTTCTAGAGTCCGATGACGACGAAGACGTCATTGAGATCTGCAGCTTGGACGGACTGCTCGGGCTTGCACCAGACTATACCGTACCAGTCGAGGAAGCGTATCCGCTGGAGATCATCCGCAACATCTACACCTCTCGCATGTCCAACTCCAAGTTATCAATTCCGTGCTTTCTGGACATGGCGCCTCAAAACCAGGATGCGATGATCGACATGCTGCACAAGGTGCCGGTCGAGCGAAGCCCAGCTCTCGCTGTCGAAGGCCTGGACACAGCACCAGGAGGGTCTAACGCTGCTCTCGATGATGACGACGCACTGCATTTTCAGTCGGCCGACGATCCGCTGGCCATCTATGGCATCATTGGCTCGGCACCCGCGGCAAGCAGCACGGATGCGCTCTATCGCAAGGCCATTCTTGACTGCGATCAGCTCCACGTGTCCGCACACGTACCGAGCCTCTTTGGTACGCTTCCTTTCATCTGCTTATGGGGGTGCATAAGATCTTACTACGTAGATGACGCATGGCCAGCACATTTGAAGAACCATTGGTGCGATATTGCGGCGAGAGCATCGGCGACCAAGTCCGATTCGGTGGTCGTCCAGCAACTTGAAGTCCCACGCCTCAAAGAGACCTTGATGGTCCCGTCTGAGGCCCTCCAAGCGTGCGCGATACTGCGTGAGGCCGAGGCGCCAACCGAGGTCGTTCTCTGCCCGACCATCATTGCCATGGAGTTGCCCATGGTCTGGTCCAAAGTGCCCAGTTGCTTCAACGAGCAACTCTTTTCCGTACGAGCTCCAAATCCATGAGCGTCGATGCTGACAAGGTCTTGTAGGCCGCAAATGAGCTCACCGAAGTGCTTGATGTGCCGATGATAAGCGCAACGGACAAGCGCATTGCTACGACGTTGAAACGATCCCAGACAGACGACCGTGGTGACTCCCGAGCGACGAAGCGTTCGAAGAGCAGCAAAACCATCGCGTACAAGCAGCACGACGAGCACGAGACAACGATCGGCCTCGTGAACCTGGGCGACGACGATCATGACGTCAGTGCCGAGTCCCCACCGTCGGGCAAAGACGAGCTGCTTTCGTCGCTCCAAACGTTTGTGCTCCACGCGGCCCGGCCCGTTATCTGGAAGCTCGTCAAGTGCGGTCAGTTTCGGTACCAAGAGACCAAGACCAAGTCGGCCTTGGAGCACCTCACCTTGTCCACGCTCGAGGCAATCGTTCTCACCCAGCAGCAGGTGCGCTCTTGCTTCGAAACTCGTCTACTACGCATAGCTACCATAGGAATTGGCCAAGGTGGACGTGCTCGGAGCGCGCCGAAGCCCCGACGTCATGGAGCGGTGTCACAACCTTGGCGAGTTGATTTATCTGCACACCCTCCGGTGGGATGCTGAATGCTCTTACGCAATTGAGATTGACTCTGTCATAGGCTTTTGTGGCACGCGTTGCAAGAGTACGGCGTCTCGGGCGGGGTCACGTTCTTGGAAGCCTGCCTCTTCAGCGAAAAGTATCAAAAGGCGCTCCGAAAGTCCCACATGTCGACGCTACACTCGATGCTGCGACTTGTAGCGCCGTTGCCGGTATATGCTCTCCGTACCGGTTTTTCGTCAAGTGACGCTGTAGGAGAATGCAGAGACGTTGACGCCCACGAAGAGCAAGCTGGAAACCTGCGGTTTGCCGTTGCGCGAACAACCAAATGCTCTTCTATGCGCCGAAGATTTTCCATACAGAGTACGGCAGTCATCTTGAAGCCATGACTTATGGGCGTGGATAGGAGCACGTCTCGGCGCTTGGTATACAGATGGTTGCCCGACCTCTGGACAGCCCGTTGGGCCTCGTATTGGACGCCAGCACAGGGCTCTGTGTCGCCCCACTTGCCACCTTTTTGGGTCCGTTGTTTGTTCGTCGCTCTCCTATCGACTCTAACGTGTCGCGTTGCAGACGATGGATTAGCGCAGATGTACGCCTACAAGCTTGCAGAGCACCAAGCAGTCTTCACCAAGGTACATGAAGCGAATCAAGCATATAGGTAGTAACGTGCCATTGGACTACGTAGCTGTGGGTCGTGCTCGGTACGCGCTACTCGCCGCTAGCTTCCTGCATCCTGAACGACTCTCTTTCGAGGACAGAGCTGCACTCGCTCTCCGACTGTTCGAACTCCGAGAAGCAAGCGGTTGAAGCCCACGTCCAAGCGTTCACGGCGTCGACGGTTCATTTTACAGCCAACGTTGTCACCATGACGAGGTATGGCGTACTGGTGCAATGTGGTCGACCACATCTCGTGCGCAGCCTCTGCACCGAGGACACGCTGCACTTTGTGTCGACTGCGATTGCCTCGTCAGATCGTCTCCCGGTATGAAGGTATCTCAAATGTTATGGTGTGACCACGTGTCTTGCAGGCAATGCTATCGCTGGACCACGACGAGTCGGGCTTTGAGCGATTCCTTGTCTCGACCAAGGCCGTCAACGCGCTCGGAGCACACTACGTCATGCAGCACGTAAGCCATTTCGCGCATACCGCATCGCTCTTTATGCATTTCAATCGCGTAGCGATCGATGACGACCATCCTGGATACCGAGAGCACACCGCCTTTGCCCGACGCCATGGCTGCCCAGTGGACGCGGCTGCACGAGTCGGTGCTTCTTGCGCCAGCGAGCGAAGTATACTGAGTTCTATGCGTAGGATCTTGCACCAAGACCACGGCCTCGCCATGTCCCACGACGACGCCTCCTCGGCCGACGAGTAGCAGCAGCCACCACGCTGGCATACCCTCAATAAGATCGCGTTGCGTTCTCGACGTGCAAAGGTGATGGCATCCGTATTGTCCGGATAACACGACAGGAACTCGGACTTTTTGGCATGCTGGCGCGGACGAGTGGACGATGCCTGCGGCTTGTGGCTGGCCGCATGGCGCTGCGCCGCCGCTTCCTCCATGCGACGGCCATCTCTCTTCAGAGCACTATCCGTGCGGATGATCGCTCGCCCACGGCGCGCGTCGATCTTCTGGCGGCCTGCACGACGGGCCAAGAGCGCTTGCAGATGGCGCAAAGCGTGCTCCAGACCACCACCGACGACGACGACGACGACCTCGGCGTCGTCTCGGACGTGCTCTTGCGGCTCTCGATGGCGAGCGACGTTCCCCGCGCCATGACGCTCGTGGAGCTCATGCACGAGAACGAAGTGCTCGCGACGGCACCTGCGATGCGCGTCTTCTCGCGCAGCTACTTTCGGCAGCACGCGAATGACCTGCCGTCGGCGCTGCAGTGGTATCTCGAGAACCACAAGGCGCTGCTGTCGCCGACTCAGGAGCTGCCCCTGCAAGACGTACTTGTGCACCTCGTGGCCCAAGGCCAAGCGGCGGCGGCCATCCAGTTCTGGCTCCTCTGGTCCGAGACGCTCCTCGAATTACCGATCGACGCCATCTCGGCGCTGCTCGGTGAGCTTGTGCGCTACGAGCAATACGAAAGCATTCTCGGTATGCTCGCGACCAAGCACAAGGAGAGTCTGCAGCAGCTCCCGGCCTTTCACATGGCGCACCTCGGAGCGCTCGTGGGCTTGCAAGAGTACAGCGCCGCGCACGCTCTTCTCCAAGACCTCAAAGCCTCGAAAGCAGTGCCGGCTAGCGCCCGCTTGAGAAACTTGCCGCGCTCTGCACTCCACGCCGCTCGACGCCGTCCAAGTAGATGCCTCTTAGCGTGCTTGCATTTCTTTTCAAAAGCTCGTACCTCGTCTACAAGAGTTGGTCGATCTCACTTCCCCGGTGCCTTGCTCGACCGATAGCTATGTAGATGGATAGATGGATAGATGGATGGATAAATGAATGGATATATGGGTATATGGATACCGGTAGCAAGAGTGCTCTTCACAGTTGCGGCAACGGCCCACATTGTGCTACAGCGCTGGGATCGACGCTGATATCGACGCGCTTTTTGGACGGCTAAGGACGCGTGCATTTAGACACCGTTGCCTGGGTTATCCGGATTGCAGTTCATTGGAGCGCAAGACCGGATCCCGCGATGTTGCGCAGCTTGGTGTCGGTCCCGCGCCGATGGGCGCCAGCCTTGGCGACAAGCCACGTGGGAGCGCTCCGCTGCATCTCGGACGATGCGGCGCCGCCGCTGCGACAGCTCAAGATCAAGCCGGCCAAGGCGAAGAAGGTAAAAGGTCCGTTTGAACCGTTCGTGGCACCTCGCCGCCTGCCGGCCGACAAGGCGCTGCCTCGCGACGGCGACGTCAGTGCGCAGATGGCCGCGCACGTGCAAGCGCACCGCTATGACGACGCGCTCTCGCTCTTTGCGGCACTCCCGACCAAGTCGATCGACAGCTACCGCTGGGCCATGGAGGCGCACGCGGCTCTCTTTGATTACGCGCAGGTCGTGGAGCTGTACATGGATGCTGCCATGGCGCATGACGTGTCGAACGAGATGCGCCTCCTGTATGTCGTCGCGCTCAACCGGCAAAAGAAGTTTGCACACACGCTCGCAGCCTTTGCTGACTGGCACTACCTCCGGCTGCCGCTCTCGACGGCGATCTTCACCGCGGTGCTCACGGCCTGCGGGCACACGAAGGATTGGGCGCGCGCCCAGTTTGTCGCCAACGCGATGCAAGAAGCGGGCTTGTCACTGCAAGGCGTTGCGTACTTTCACATCCTCTCTGCCGCGCTCCGGGACCCAACGGTTCACGCGCTCACGTCGCTCGAGCTCGCCGAGGCCGCGACGTCGGCCGGGTACCCTGTCTCGACGTCGCTTTTGGGACAAATTTTGATTCTATCGGCCAAGCATGCGTCGCAGCTCGAGCAAAAAAAAGCCAAGGCGGTATGGGGCCGCGCGCGCCGCGTCTGGGACGCCAACAAGTCGTACGGCGCGATCACTGGTCGGCACGAGTTCCAGTACGAGGTGCTCATGCAAGCTCTCTGGAAGCTCAAGTACAAATCGGACGTCACGTCGATCCTTCACGACCTCCTTTCGTTCCCGCACTCGCGGGCGGACTTCAAGGCGCGCCTTTTGAAGGACCTCTTCAACCGCCACGTGGAGGACGCCGACATGGCGGGCGCGACCGCGATCGTCGACTTGATGCAGGCGCACGGTGTCGGTCTCTTGACCACGCTTCGGCGCCACAAGTTTTTTTCGCTCTGCGTGCGCAACATGCCGATCGACGAGACACGCGCCATCTTTACCAAATACGAATCGGTGCTCGGCGGCTGGAACGCCGAGGGCATCTCCGGCCTCCTCATCTGGGGCCACAAGGCGACGACCGACAACGACGAGGACGACGAGCACGAGCTCGAGCACCAGTACAAGCAGGTGCAGCAGCTCGTCAGCGACGCGTTCGACCACGGCTGGTCGCTCTCGTACCCGGCGATGGACCACACGGCGCACTGGCTACTGCACCTGCACCGGTACGAAGACTGCGTCGTTTTTGTGAACGGGCTGATGGAAAACCCAAATTTCGACGTCGGCTACCGCATCACGGAAGCAGGCATGGTGGCCGCCAAGCGCCTCGGCGACAACGCGCACGTCACCGAGTTGTACCGACAGCTTGAAGCGCGTCATCGCGCCAACCCGTCGACGCAAGCCGTGACCTTTGCGCCGCGCCCGCTCATGCTCTGGACCGCGATCGGCGCGTTCGAAGCGCTCGGGCAGTTTGAAGACGCGCGGTTGCTCAAGGCGATGCTCACGCAACTCCATCCGCATAAGGCCCCGTACAAGAACAAGAAGACGCCCATCCGTCGCGCGCGCCGCGCTGTCTTCGACGACTACGACACCACGGTCGACGTATAGGGATAGGGTCTCACGAGTGTAGAAACCCCGTAACACTGTTAGAAGAAGAAAAGGAGTTTGCGGACCAACGGCGCTCGGCGCGACAACTGCCTCGTACGCAAGGTGCAGCGTGGTGGTCGTGGTGCTTGCAGCCGACCATGCTGGCGACGGGTTTTGATTAATCAATCAATTAATCAATCAATTAATCAATCGACCAGTCAATCCATCCAACTTGTCTGCGTTGAAATCAAATTTGCCCAAACCAACTCGACGACGGCTTTGATACGCAGCAGCGCTACGCCTGAATGCGTGGGAGTTGGCGCCAGCACTTGGTTGTTGGGAGTGAACTCGAAGATCCATCCCGTGGTGAACCCCACTCGCCGAGGGATCCATAGCTCGTACGTAAGCTCCTGTATACGACAGAAGAGTGCAAGCCGTCGGGTGTGTTTCTGGATTTTTCATGGATGTCGACATTAGCTAAACTTTGTTTCGGAAGGCGGATTTGGCGGTGATCCGAGTGCAGCAAGCAACATACAAACGCAGAAGACAAGTGCGTCGATTCGAAGAAGTCATTACAAGAACGAAGCGAGGGCGCGCGGTAGGCCTCGCGGTGCGCCTGGTACTTGGTACCATTGTACAACTTGGGAGCGACGGCTCGTCTGGACATCGACGTCGCACCAACAACGTCTTTGGCGGCTTGCATGGCGTCTCGAAATCTGGCTCCGGCATGAGTGCCAGTACAAAAGAGCACTGGAATTGCGCCCATCGTTTGGATCGGCGACTTAAAGTTGAGCCACGTGCTCGGGCTCGAACCCACAGAAACTCCATCGAGTTAAAGCCGCCGCGAACCCTAATAGGCGCCGAGTCCATCACAGTTTGTAACTCAGTCGTCCCGACAGGAGATAGAGGAACCATTGACGGAGATGACGTGGCAGCGTCCATGAAGAAGCTCAGCCCACGAGGGGCCCCCCGAGTGAGGATCATGAGAAGGCTGCCCGACGTCCAACGTCTGCGAGGCCAACTACCCTACCCCTCACCAAGTGCAAAATTACAAAGCACGAGCAGATGCGACACCCATGTGATATTAGTATGTATTCAGAACAGACAGAATGACCATACTCGCTGACGACACACTACGCCGCCGTCGCGTGGCGTTGGCGCGGGGAGCGCGGAGCGTCGTCGGTGGTCACGATGACGACCTCCTGGACGCGGTTCTTGGTGGCTGTCGCAGGCGACAGCGCCTTGGCACAGAACTCTTGAAGCGCACGCGCGTATCTCGTCGGGTCGGCCAGGAGGTGCTGCACATGCCCCGACGTCTCAAAGTCGACTGCCTCGACGATCGCTTCCTGGGCCGTTGCCATCGCGGTGCGGACGCATTCCGGGTCCACAAACGTGTCGCGGGCCGAGTAGAGGAAGAGCTTGGGCACTGCCTTGTATTCGTCAAAGCAGAGCCGCCAATGGTCTGCGAACTGCTCGTGCGCCGGTCGAAACAGCGGCAGCCACTTGAGCGCGCTCAGCGAGAGGCGCACTGCGAGGCGCTCGCGCAGCGTCCGGAGGTGGCGCGCGCCCGCCCAGGTAAAGTCGACGGCAGCTTGCGTCCCGCGGCTCGGCGCCGAGTCAAAGACCATGGCCGGCACGTGGAACGCATAGTTGGCCTTGCGCAAGTGCAAGTCGATCGAGGTCCACGAC